GCACATACTTGCTGGGAAACTTTTCAATTATATACATGTCCAACACAGTGACAATTTTCCAAATGACAGATGTGAACAGTGCATATTTCTTGTTCTAAGGATCAAAATAATGGAAGAAAAATTTACTGATGTTATCAATCATTTGATCAGATATGTGGTTCATGGTAGATAGTTATGATGTTTATTGTCTATGCATTAAATAATTTTAATTGAGAAATATTTGTTTATTCTCATAAGAGCCAGGTACACATCTAAAAGCAAATCAACAACTCTACTCTCATTTTATGGAAGAGTCAAACATTGCGTATAACGAAAATTCACAGGACAGCCCATAAACTAGCCACCAGGAATGAGCGAGGATTTCTTAAGCATGTGACACTCAAACTACCAAAGAATGAGTAGGGGTTTGAACCTAGGAAGTCTTTACATTTTACAAATTTTACTTCTTAGAAAGAACACTGGATGAATATATTAATAGAACATAGATTTAGGGTTAAGAAGCATACAAGGCAAGATGAAGATCATTAAAACCCATTCTCCTAATCAGTTACACATGCAAAAAGATCCTGCTCAGATGGTGAGATTTTAATTTTTATAAAGCTCAGTTTTAGAATATAAATCACGGCAGGATTTTTTACATTCACTTATACTACAGAGAGTGAAAATTAAATCTTATAATTGGACCACATACTGTGGGAGTTGCTTTGGATTAGAAAATTGAACATGGTAGTAGGGAATCAAAGAAATGAGGGTTGCAAGAGTAGACTGTGGTTTTGAGAATCAGAAAATGAAAGGATTTCTACTTTTCCAATGGGAATATAATTAAGAGAAGCAAATTACACCTACGAATTTATAGGATTTGATCCTAAGAAGCCAGACTTAATAATAATTTTTTCTTGAACCACTAGAGCTTGCGTTAATGATAATTTACATTTTAAAAAGTCCTTTCTTTTCTTACAGAGGAAAATAACTGAACAAGAACACTAGAATAAAGGACAAAAAGGAACATACTTGGGGATAGGACATTAGCCTAAATCAAATGAAAGATTTTCTTTAAAAACATATTTGATTAATGAACAATTAAAGTTCACTGCAACAGCTATTTACTATAATAAGAGAGGCAGAGAGATGAATTTCCAGATCTCCTGAGACTCAGGGAATTTCTTCCTCCCATAGATTATACTGAT